GCGGTGGAAGGCGGCTGCGCTGTCCTTGACCGGGCCGGGCCGCAGGCAGGTCGCTCGCGCTCCCGGGATCTGACGGCGAGGAAAGGCCTGGCCTGCAAACCTTGTCTCCCCTGCGGCGCTCGGGGCTCTCCCTGTCTCAGGGCTCTCTGTCCCCTCCTGGGACAATCGGGATCGTCATCCTTGTGCCTACGTTGGGGTGGGACAAAGCAGAGAGACAGAGATGAGAGCATGCCCTGGAAGACCGCCCACGGCCGAGCGGTTCCCGAGCTGGGTCCACACGGAGCCACGCGCCCACTGTGTGGCCATACCTTTGGGTGGCTTGAAAGACATGCCAGGCACATGAGGGCACCCAAAATGCCCATGGGCAGAGTCGGAAGAAGGGATTGAGGCATGACCAGGCCTCGTTGGGGTGCCCCTGTGTCTCTGGCACGCACATGTGCTGTCTGGTAAATAACAGAAGGGGGGAGAAGAGAAGAAGGACAGAAGGAAACGCTTTGGAAACTTAGGGTGTCTTTATGGACAGCGCCAACCCGCGGGGCTCACAGTAGGCGCTCTAGCGATGCCATGGGTTACCCAGCCCTGATAGGCCAGGGCAGACCAGAGTGGTTTCATTTCAGCATCCCTGCGGGCAGGGTGCCACCTCACCCCTTCGGGTTGCCCGCTGGCCCAAGACCAGCTGGCCGGTAGAGGTGGAGTGAGCGACGCCCGGATCCCCAGCCTCGGAGCCCCGTTCTCTGCTGCACGCTGCCATGGCGTCCTGGGCTTCCTAGCCCTCGCGGTCTGGCGAGGCAGAGGCCTTGCACAGTCCCTGGGTGGGTTTGCTTGCAGTCTGCACCCCCAGGGCTCAGTGGCCTTGAGGGCGGGGCTGGCCTGAGTAGAAGCCCTCCAAGCACCTTGGAGCCCACCAGGCAGGCAGGTCTGGAGCCCCTCGGCGACTGCTGTGGCGTCTGCTGTCTGGATGGACCGTGTTTGGTACGGAGTGGGGACACAGACGTTCCAGGCAGAAGGGCAGACGGGGGCAGTTGGCTGAGCCTTCAGGCTGGCACCTCCAGGCTGGTATTTGAATGTCGTGATGTCCGTGGGGACAGCTGTTTAGGGGTGCGAGTGGGCAGGAGTCACCCACGTTGTAAATGGCCAGGCGCCTGTGGCATGGCCCAGCACCCCGTTTCGGGCCTTTCCCGCGCCCTCCAGAGTGCAGGGACAGGCCGCCATGGCCACTCTCGGAGGGCCTTCCGAAGGCAGCAGCAGCAGCGCCAGCGATGGCAGCGAGCGTGGGCCTGGGGACAGCGGGAGCTGGGTTTGGCCTTTGATTTACACTCATCAAGGTGAACAGCGCTCGTGTCCTATTTTAGTGAAGATGAAGGCCCCGCCACACCACCGGCCTCCACTCGGCAGGCAGCTTTCTGATGGCGAAGCCGCCGGAGCTGCCCTGGAGACCGCCTGTGGTCACTGCAAAGCCGAGGGCAAGCCCTGCGTGCCTGTGAACACGCATTCCCCTAGGGCTGAATTTAGGTTGGAGACTGGGCCTTTTAAATGCCTTTGTGTCTAGTGCGTAAGTGACCATTCTCTCTCTCTCTTCTTAATTTTTATCTTTCTTTATTTTAAATTTGACCAGAGAGGGGCAGAGAGAGAGAAAGTGAGAAAGCAAGCCGCCAGGTCCAGGACTTGAACCACAGTCAGCCATGTGGGAGTCCAGCGCCCTTAACCACCACACCCTCTGACAGCCCCACGATTCTCTCTTGATCCTTGGGACAATACTGAGAGGTAAAGTTAACCACCCATTTTACAGATGAGAAAAGTGAGGCTTGGGCAGGTAGAAGACTCTGAAGCCGGCGCAGACTGGATCCAGGCCCGCCTGCCTGCGCTGCCCCAGCTGGTGCGAGTGCTCCAGTGAGGAGGGGAGAGCCGCCTCGGAGGGGTGGCCTGTGCTCCAGGGCTCTGCGAGCGGAGCTGTTCCGCCCGCCCCTCCACTGAAACTCAGTGGCCTCTTATTGCCACTTCTTTTCCTTATTGCCGAGTGGCCGAAGTCCATCCGTCCCAGGCACCCTGCATCCCTGGCCTCTGCCCCACCCCCTGCACATCGGCCTGAGCTTCTGGAAAGATCTTCAGGCCAGAGCTCCAGCTCCTTGTGCACCGATTTCCTGCGACACCCCGGCTCCTCTGGGCCCTCAGTTTCCTGGTGTGGCAAATGGGGTAAGAACTCGCCTTTGGGCTTTCCAGGGTTCTGAAGCACACATGACTTGAGAGAGGTAGCAGAGTGTTGGAAGCCAGAGAAATACAGGTAGCAATTCTCTTCCTGGAACATTTAACGACCAGGCGTGGCCGGTGCACTTAAACCAAGGCGGGTCTTTGCAGAGCAGGCCCTGCCTGGGGCAGGCGGGAGCTGGGCTCGGGCTTCCAGGCCCTGTGCAGCCCCTCAGTGTGGCAGGGCCCCACCCCCTTTGAGAACAGGTCTTCCGCGCGCTCGAGGGCACCCAGCACTGCCCCTCCTGTGTGTAGGGTGCTGGGCACCAGGACGCTGGACCCTGCCCTGCTGGTCTGAAAGAAAGGCTGCCCTTAAAGGGGACTGCAGCGATAGTATTATAGTGCGAGGATTTTAAAAAAGCAGGCTTGGTAGTTAAAGGGGCTGGACTCCCACATGGGTGACCATGGATTGAGTTCCAGACCTGGTGCCCTCTCTCTCTGGTCAAAATTGAAAAATAATGATAATAAATAAAACATTTTCTTTCTTTCTTTCTTTCTTTCTTTCTTTCTTTCTTTCTTTCTTTCTTTCTTTCTTTCTTTTTTTTTTGGAGAGGTTTTTGCTATAGGGCACATGCGCTTGCAAGACAGACAGAGAGAGACAGAGAGACAGAAAGCAAGAAATCACCCCCCCACCCCCTGGGGTATGGCCACGCCGCAATCCCTTTTCCTCCATTCTCCTCGGGATCTTGGGCATGCACGCAAATGTGCCTGGAGTGAGTTTAAGCCACTGCCTCTGGGACTTGAACTGCGTTAGACTACATGGGAATCCAGCGACAAAGCCATTACGCCAACTGCTGGTCCCTATTTAATTTTATTTATTCATTCATTTATTTTAATTTCACCAGAGAGAGAGACTCAGAAAGAGAGAGAGGGAAAGTGAGAAAGTAAGACACCAGGGTGGGACTCGAACCATGGCCATGTGGGTGTGTCCAGCGCCTTAACTACCATGCCACCTGCTGGCCCCTGTCCTATAGCAAATTTAAAAATATAAAATGGCATAGGGTGCATGTTCTTGTTGGAGAGAGACAGTGAAATATATGAATTTAAGAATAAGCTTTTTTTTTCAGAGAGAGAGATTTTTGCTGTGCGGTCTGTGCACTCACCGGAGAAATCACCCCCCAGGGTTGGCCATGCCACAGTCCCTTCTCCACTCTCCTCTGGGGATTTTGGGCACGCACGCACACGTGCCTGGCTTGAGTTTCAAGTCCCGACCGCGTAACCCGTTCACACGGCGGGGCTTGCCTGTCTCCGTGTGCGTGTGTCGTCCCGTGACTCCCGCCCACAGCTGCCCTCTGCCACCCCTCCTCCCCACCCTCCTCTTCACTCTCCCTGTCACCCCCTCCATCCGTCCAAGACGCGGGATTCTGTCCGAAAGTCCTGCTCGGTCATGACCGACCCTCCATGCCCCTCCTCGACCTCGGTGACCTTCCCTGACTCCAGCCGTCTCCCCCACGGCCGGGTGTCCCCTGAAATCACGCAGAGGCCTCCCCAGCAGCGTGCTCCGACATCCACCGCCTCGCTCTCTGCCAGAGCGGCCCCCTCCTGGCCGGTCGGCACCGCCATGCTCGACCACGCAGCTGAGCCCGAGGCTGGCTCGGTTGTCCCAGTGAGGGCCAGGACCAGCAGAGGGACTCAGACTTGGACTGGAGGTGGCTGCGAAGGGGAGAAAAGGGACGATTGGAGGTGTGTGACAGAATGACCAGGCACGCGTCCTCGGGTGCCGAAAACCCCGGAGGAGAGTGGGGAGGAGGGATTGTGATGTGGCCATCTTCCCGGGGACGTCTCTGTCTCTGTCACTGTCTCTGTCTCTCCGAAGACACACAGCCTAGGGCAAAAACCTCTAAAAAAACCCCACCCTGTGGCAGGCAGCCCCCCTGGCTGGCCGCCCTCGCTAGACCCCCGGTCTCACCCGGTGTCTGGTGTCCTCCCTATGGCTGCCTCTGTCTCCTGTGTGGACTTGTCATCTACAACCTTTGAATCTTCCGCGTCCCTCTGCTTCCCCGTTGTCCCCCGCTGGCCCCCCAATCTCCTT